CAGGACAGGAGACACAGTGAGAGAGAGGAGATCACAGAGAAGCCCTCAGTAATAAACACACACAACAGGACAGGAGACACAGTGAGAGAGAAAGGAAATAACAGAATCTTCCAGTAATACACACACACAACAGGACAGGAGACACAGTGAGAGAGGAGAGGAGATCACAGAGAATCCCTCAGTGATAAACACACACAACAGGACGGGAGACACAGTGACAGAGAAAGGAAATAACAGAGAATCCTCCAGTAATAAATACAAACGACGGGACAGGAGGCACACTGAAAGCGTGGGAGTGACAGTTGGGTTCACATCTCTGTTTGCTGACAATTTTTTCACAATGTGTCTGCTTTCAGAGCAGCCATGGGAGACGCTGAGATGGCGGAGTTTGGGGCCGCCGCCCCCTACCTGCGCAAGTCAGACAGGGAGCGTCTGGAGGCACAGACTCGCCCCTTCGACATGAAGAAGCAGTGCTTCGTACCCGACCCCGTGGAGGAGTTTGTGAAGGCAACAATCATAAGCCGCGAAGGAGATAAGGTCACTGCGGAGACCTACCATGGGAAGGTGAGGGCTGTGTGTGCATCAGTGTCATCTTGCCAAGTGTATCAGTCACTGTGTCACTGAGTTTAAAAGTCAGTGGATCTCCATTTCTGTGTGGAAATGTTTTGGAGCCTCAGTGTTTTTGTCTCAGTTTCCGCATAAATGTGTCTCAGTTTCCGTATGTCTTTGTCTCAGTGTCTTGGTGTGGAAATGTCTCAGGGGCTCAGGCCTCAGTGTTTTGGTGTTGAAATGTCCCAGGGGCTCAGGCCTCAGTGTCTCGGTGTGGGAAATGCTCAGGGCAGGAGTCTTGGCGTGTCAGTGTGTCTCAGAGCCAATGTGTTGGGGTAACAGTGTGTAAGTGTTTTAGTCTTGGTGTGGCAGTAGATCAGTGTCTCCTTTGTTTTTCCAGACTGTCACAGTGAAAGACAGTCAGGTCGTCCAACAGAACCCGCCCAAGTTCGATAAAATCGAAGACATGGCCATGCTGACCTTCCTGCACGAGCCCGCTGTGCTGTACAACCTCAAAGAGCGTTACGCAGCCTGGATGATCTACGTGAGTAGAGTGCACCTTCACCCCTCTTCACACAGACAGGCTGGAGGGAGGGGAGATCCTGACCACTGCCTCTCTCCTGCAGACCTACTCTGGGTTGTTCTGTGTCACTGTCAACCCCTACAAGTGGCTGCCTGTGTACAATGCAGAGGTGGTCAATGCCTACAGAGGCAAGAAGAGGACTGAAGCTCCTCCTCACATCTACTCCATCTCTGACAACGCCTATCAGTACATGCTGACGGGTAAGCTGGGCTTTGCAAAAATCATTGTGTAGGCTGACTGGCAAGGCACTGGAGCCACTGCCCGTCGTCAGAAGCAGTATTCTGGAGAGGAGGTGCACTTGAATGCACAGACCAAATGCAGTGGGAGTGGGAGGGGGACCAGCCTGTGAGCAACTCCCATGAGGCGGAGAGGTCAGGCAGCACAGCTGGAAGAAGACTCACTCCAGTTCAGGGCTTGGAGCGACCAGTTCTTGTGAGAGAGAGTGTCCCCTGCCTCACCATGAAATATTGTCAAGCCAGCGTGTGCTTGGCTTTGCCTGACGTGTTGGGTCCGTCTGTGAGTTTTGCTGGCAGGAAGATGTTGCATGTGTTCATCTGACCACTCCGCAGAACTTTTTAGACTAAACTGCCTGGTCTGCTGTTGTTAAGAGCACTGGCTGGGGATTTTATGTACAACTGTAGTAATAATAATAATAATAATAATAATAATAATAATAATAATAATAATAATAATGTTTTTACTCCATTTCAGACAGAGAGAACCAGTCCATCCTGATTACGTGAGTATAATCCAAGTCTCTTCAGAAATAAACCTTTTTAATAACAGCTCACTCGCTCACCTCTCAGGGAAAAGAGGCTCCCGTTTTCCTCAAGGAAATTCACTGATGCTTCCATCATTGAACTGAGGACGCCATGACGCCACATTCCAGGATAACTTCTCTGTCCCCTGCAAAAGAAAAAAATGAAAAGGTTGTCGAATGCAGCTTTGTTTTGTACTGTAAACCGTCCACCCACACTCTCCTGTTCTGTGTTGTTGGCCTGACACAGAGAAGGAAAAAAAGGTCACTTCAAGACACGCGACCCAAGCCATGCCAGTCTGTTTGGACTCCAAATCAAACTTTCATTCCATTAAAACACAGGGCGGTTTAATTGTGAGCAATATCTTGTAATGGTAGGTCCCAGGATAAATGAAGTAATCAAACTCATTCTTAAATTAAATCATTTGGCAGGCACCTTTGACCAGAGCCACTTACAGTGGTACTTGGGTGGTACCTGGGTGGCCTGAAGCAGGCACAGCACCTTGCTCAAGGGTACAAGCTGGTGCTCGAACCCGCTTTCCTGCAGTCAGGTGTCCTGCGCCGCAGACACTACTCTGCGCTTGTCAGCAGATTGTCAGCAAGTGCTGTTCCATACAATCAGTGACTGGTGCTGGAAACAATGTGCAGGTTGAAAATGCAGGAAGAGAGGGGAAGAGTAAAGACATGTTGTACAGTGATGACAAGTCTTCAGGAGATTCCTTTCCACTTTAAGTGATCTCGTGAGCTGCCACTCTCCTTTCACGTGTGATCAGCAGTAGAACTCGGTGTCACTACGCAAAATGCCTTTCTGTTTTTCTCATGATCTTTATGAGGGCATGGGGCAATTAGGAATGTGCATAAATGTCTTCACAATAGGTTATGCTCTAACTGGCCAAAATATTAGGAACCTCCCTCAACACATAATGTGTTTGGCCTATATATTTATAATTATAATTTAATCACCTTCAGGCTGTCCAGGTTGTAATGAGGAGTAATGGTGTGTGGGATGGGCACGCACAGTCCATCAGTTTCTCTAGTTTCCAACAGGATTGAGATCTGTGGAACATTCCTCTTGAGGCCAATGCAAGGCATTATTTACATTGTAATTCAGAATGTACAACCAGAAAGCATCCTAAATGAAAACAATGACCAGACAATGCCGGGACTTATTTTTTCCCCAGTGGAGAATCCGGTGCTGGGAAGACTGTGAACACCAAGAGGGTCATTCAGTACTTCGCCAGCATTGCGGCAGCAGGGGGAAAAAAGGACTCAGCAGCTGCTAACAAGGTCAGTGTTGTCCATCACACTCTCCTAGACCACTACATTTACCACTGTGACTCACTGACATCACTGCATTTACCGCTGTGACTCACTGACATCACTGCATTTAGAACTGAACAGTGCCTGACAGGCGAGTGAGTGCTCATCGACATCTGTTTTTTTGACAGAAAACTGTGGACAGACCTGATAAATGAATGTCAAATCTACATGGTGCGCACAGATTGTATGTGGGTGTACAGCAAGCACCACTTTGGAGCACTGACAGGGCTTATAGACTAAAAGTAGATTAGTCTTGGTTGCTTCTTTAGAGCAGAATGTTGCAGTTGTCACAACCTGGAACAAGTCTCCAGCCATAAGCATTACATTCCTTCAGTCACCGCTTTCTTTAGAAGCATATTTTAACCTTACAGTCATGCTACCATTAAACTTTTAGAGGGGAAACCAAAGAACTAAAAATAATCAGAATGACAATAAGGTTTCCATGGCCCAACAGTGAAGTGATTAACTTGGATTTCTGGGTCTTAAGAAGGGTTGTTTTTAGAGATGGGCAGTGTTTATGTTTTAGAAGTCCATGTAGAGGGTATGTTTGCTGACCCTGAGCCTGTGTCCTGTTCCAGGGGACCCTGGAGGATCAAATCATCCAGGCCAACCCAGCGCTAGAGGCCTTTGGCAATGCCAAGACTGTGAGGAACGACAACTCCTCGCGATTTGTGAGTAACCCCTCTGCTGCTTCAGAGAGCAAGGGTTGGAAGCAGCCCGTACCTTTAAGCACAATCATAAGGAACTGGAAGAGTGCAGGGCTGCCATTCTCCTCTTGATTAGTCTCAGAACCATTATTCCGTGAACCCACTTTAAGGACAGAGCAAACCACAACAGTCCCACTAGGCTCCTCCCGGTCAGTTACTCCTTCTCAGTTTCCTGTTGCTGTCACATGTCCTTACAGCCTTTTCTACCATGGCCAGTTTTAAAAAGGAGGACAAGTACAAATTGGTGGTCCAAAGTCAAAAGGTGAACGTTGGAACACTTCATTTAGGATCCCAGAAGATAATAGCTTATTTGGATCCTAGAATGTCATCTAGCCATTTCCTAGAGGATTTCAAAGAATATTTTGTGATCTTCAAATGAACTTTCAAGAATCTCACTGAGATCCTAGGATTAACAAACATCAAGCTATCAATGAACAAGGCGGGCAGAATGGCCTCAGTTTGTAATCTTTCTTATGTTGTTCTCTTGTTGATTTATGATGACAGGTGAGGAATGGGTTATGAACACAAACCGTTAGCTTGAAGACATACAGTTATGAAGATACTGTAGTACTTTGGTTAGCAAGGCTAAAACTTGGCTCCAGAGGTCAGAATGTTAACCAAAAAGAGGGTTTACCCAGGGTCATTCTAACATGGCTCCTACAGAGAGTTCATGTGTTCCACGCATCATCATAAGCTACTTACAAACACTTCCTTGAGTGTCACTATAAGTACACCGCATTTCTGGTACAGTTAAATAAAATATACACAGATATAAATTACGAGAATACGGTAGACAATCCTGATTTAAATCCATCAACACTCACAGTTTGCAGTTTGTTCAGGGAGCTGTGGCAGAATCTGAGGAAGAGGAGCTGCCACTGGGTGGGCAGGCCAAGAGTACCTTATTCTTAATCAGCAAAGCTGGTGTTTTACTTCACCCTGGCAGCAGCTGCTCATCGACTGTGAAACCTCGCAGGATTGTGTTCTCCGCTGCTGCGAGCGGCGCTCCATACCCAAGTTGCTGTCCGGGAGGAAGTGAATTTCCTTGCCCAGATCTCTAAAGCGGTCCTTTACTGTTTGTGTGCTAAGGAATTTCTCCTGTTCTCCAGTCTCTTCTCCCTCATTGTCTAGCTCAGCCGGAAGTTTGACAAGCTCTTTAAATGAACAATGACTATAATGCGTAGAAACTATGTACAATTGCCTGGATTATATAGTCATTTCCACATCCAAATCATACAGGCTCATGGGGCCAGGGTTCATCCTGGCTTCTGTGTCTTTAAATCAACAAGACCTGCCTGGATTATATATTTGCATGCCAATAAAAATATAAACATGCTGAGCTTTTATACTGTGTTTATATACAGTGCAGTAAATTGTTCATTACATTACATATTTAATTTATTAAATGTATATTTATGGTGGCGAGGTGGATAGCAGTGGGGCCCTGGGTTCAGTTCCTGGGGTGCGGTCTGTGTGGAGTTTGTATGCTCTCGCTGTGTTTGCATGGGCTTCCTCCAGGTGCTCCAGTCTCCTCCCACAGTCCAAAGACATGCTGGTGGGTTAATTGGTTTTTGGAGACCCTGGCCCTGGAGCCAGTGTGTGTGTCTGTGCAGCTGCCCTGCAATGGACTGGCGTCCCGTCCAGGGTGCATCCTGCCTTGGGCCTGTTGCTTGCCTAGACAGGCAAAGTGACTGAAGTGACTGGCGTGGTTAGAAAATGGATGGATGTACATACTGTACAGTAAATTGTTTATTACTTCACTCACATATTTTATATTTTAAATGAATATTTAATCATAGAGTGTTAACCAAGACAGAGTTGCCCGGGTTCGCTTTAACTGAGGTCTTGCAGTACAGCGGGAGAGAAAGTTATTGAAACAGGAAAAAACATGTTTTCAGTCAGGCCATCTCTGAGGCCCAGTTGCAGGAGGAGCCTGACAAGTTCAGTGATGCTGTTCTGACTTTCAGGGCAAATTCATCCGAATCCACTTTGGAGCCAGGGGGAAGCTGGCATCTGCAGACATTGAGACCTGTAAGTCCTTACCTTGCTCCGATCAAGCGTTCTTGTGTGAGGATCCCCTCCTCCAAATGAGAACAATAGCGAAACTCATATTTCCCTAGTAATCCCTTCCACATTACAGTCTCTTAGACTCCAAACGTACTGTTGAATGCTGAAATGAAAATGTAATAAAACGTGGGTTCAATGGGGCTCTTGGATGGCAAGGAGGCCAAAGAGTCAGAGATATTGTCTACTAGATTTTAAAATTTGGCATCAGCTGAATAGGCAGTTTGATATGCTGGTATAACCTGGAACAATGGCTGATCAATCAGCAATTCATAGCAGAATGAATCAGAAAATATATTGCTGTTCTAGAGACAGCACAAAAGAGAGTAGCCAGAGTGAAATTACATGGGAACTTAATTCAGGTGTTAAAATTTCTGACCAGATCAATGGAGGGGGATTCTTCAAAACAATCTTTAAGATTGGCAGCAGTACAAGGACCAGAAAAGTAGAAATTAAACCTAGAACATTTCAGTTCTGCCAACAAAAACCACTTTGTTTCACAGAGGACAGTGGAAGTCTGGAAGCAACTCCCCAGTCATGTGGTTGACACTGCCTCAGCTGGATCATTTAAGACATGGATTGATGGCATTCTTAGTTCATTCAGCTATAAAAGAGCAAGACAGGTTGAATGGCCTCCTAAGGTATTCCCCTGTTCTTATGAAGATGTTTGTTAGCCGCAGCACCTGGGGAGTCCAGATGTGGTCGCCCACAGTAATATTCCGAATTGGGTCACTCCAGATTCATTCTCCTCTCCACAAGCAGCCCTATGGGTCACAAAACTTCATGTTTCATCTTCAGGGAGGGAATGAAGGGCCAGTGAACAGTTTGGTTTTTCCCCTCTATCTGCTATGTCCATCATCTCTGCTTTCTCTGTGTTACGCCACACAAATGCACGCTGTGTGCTGACATAACACTCCGCTCTCCCTCACGTTCCTCTTCCTGTGTCTTCTCTCTCAGACTTGCTGGAGAAGTCTCGAGTGATCTTCCAGCTCAGGTCTGAGAGAGACTATCACATCTTCTACCAGATCCTGTCCCAGAAGAAGCCAGAGCTGCTGGGTGAGTACATGCAGTACTGACTGCCATTGGTTAAATGACAGCTCAGGGCGTCTCCTGTTCCCACTCTCTCTGAATCAGGGTGGGAGTTACAGACTCTGCAGAAAGCAGATTAGAATAAAGTCTTGATGCTGTGCGGCTCACCTAAACATATCAATGACGGCAGTGCAGCGTAAAAAACACAAGTGGAAGGTGGGGATATATCTAAGTACTAACTACTTGGCTCTCCCAGGTGTATGTCACACTCTGTCACCACATGCCTGATTACCTTTCTTTCCATTACAGAAATGCTTCTGGTGACCAACAACCCCTATGATTATGCCTTCATCTCACAGGGGGAGACCACTGTGCCCTCTATTGATGATGCAGAGGAGCTGATGGCCACTGACGTAAGCACTCTCCTCCATCACAAGCATAGCCCCTCACCAGACGTTCATATGTGTACACATTGGGGAATCGTCCTCCCAGTGCTCATCTAGCTGGCACACTCTCTTGCTGCACTTGGGTTTTAGGCTAAAAGTATTACTTTTATAGTCGAGTGCATTACTGTTCTGCCTGTCCACCCAGAGTTCATTAATTGCCAGTCTTTCAGGAGTGTTGCTTAGTTTCCTGTCATCTTATCTTTAGACTCAGAATAACACTGTGGAATCAGCCTTTACACTCAGTTACAAACCAATACGGCTAGGGGAGACATCCCTAAATTCGAAGTAGGTGGCCAAATCCTTACACTGTTATTGTTCCACATTCATGACAGCGCCAGTCTGCTCATTTAGCCCTTCCATCAGGGGTACCAACACTTTCTGCACCAACACAGCACCCTGTTTAACAAATTGAATTTATTCTGTGGTCACCTATTGAGGAACGTATAGTGCACCCACAGCGTCTTGTACAAATGATTCAAGGATATGCAAACGTCATACTCACTGTAGACAAAGTACATAACCTTTAAATAAATGCCAGGAGAAAGATTTTTTATGTATCCAAAGAGGTATGTTAGTGATATGAAATGATAAAGCAGAAATGTTGAAGCAAACCAATCTTCTCCTCCTCTTGTTTGTTATATTTTAATGTGTCCTCTGGAGCCAAGGATGACTTTTGAATCTGCAGACGCTGCAAAACCTTAAACTGGCTTTCTCTATCACTCCTGCAGAGCGCCTTCGATGTGCTGGGCTTCACTCAGGAAGAGAAAAACAGCATCTATAAGATGACTGGAGCCATCATGCACTACGGCAACATGAAGTTCAAGCAGAAGCAGCGAGAGGAGCAGGCAGAGCCTGATGGCACTGAGGGTAGGTCTGGTGCCTCTTGCTCCCTGGCTAAATATTTTGTGTACCTTAGGAGATACCAAGTAATTCATCTGGAATTTGGTCAAGGATGGAGCAAGCTGTGGTGGATTTACCATAGCATTTAAGCATTGTATCTGTCATTACTTCCACTGGTGGTGAAGTCAGTTGAATCACTAGTGTTGATTCATTCCTCTGTTGTCACCGGCGGAATGGATCCACAGTGGATTCCAAGTGACTTCAGCTGGCAAAATGCTGTGTCTGGGTGGCCTTTTTCAGTAATTTGTGTTACCAGAATCTTCTGAGATTCTAACCAGAGATCTCCCAAGCCCTTTGAAGATAACCCAAGACACTCAACACCTTAGAAACATATAAAGTACACAGGCAACTAGTTCAGGTATTCCTTCATCTTGATCACTGCTTTGCTTGCTATATCTGAAGCACCCAAGAGCTCTTGCCTAAAGACACCACTTTCATTGACCTTGTTTTTCTCTCCTCACATGCAAAGAGGCAGACAAATCTGCTTACCTGATGGGCCTGAACTCTGCTGACCTTCTGAAGGGTCTGTGTCACCCCAGGGTCAAAGTGGGGAACGAGTGGGTGACCAAGGGGCAGAATGTCCAGCAAGTGAGTTTATGAACTAATGTCACAGGGCTACTGCTACAGTCCTGCTGTCTCCTGTAAGGATATTTACAGCCTTAGAAACTGTTCAGAGAAGAGCAACAATAAGAGCAAATACTTCTTTATGCCAAGAGTTATGGGTGTTTAAAACAGGCTTCCTAGCCAGGCAGTTAAGGCACAGACTTCTCAATCCTTCAAGAAATGGCTAAATGAATTTACAATTATCTTAACTACTGGTGCAAAATGAGCCAGATAAGCCAAATGCCATCCCCTGGTTTACAGTCTTTTTTGTTCATTCTTGTCTTGAACCCAAAACGCAGAACGCATTAAAAACTGTTTGCCATAACTATGGAACATACCTAATATTGCACACTTCCACTAACCTACACCTGCACATATTTGCTCGCATCCTGTCGTATACTGTGTCTCTCTCGTATTCTCCCCTCCTGCCCGTCTACTCCCTCGCGGCAAGCTCTTTAGCTCACTTTCCTGCAGTAGTAAGGGGGGGGGGGGGGGGCTCTGATTGGCTGAGGGAGAGGGGGGTGATGGGAAGGCCTGGACCGGGGTGCGGGTGGGGGGGGGGGGGGGGGGAGGGTTCGGAAAACCACATTAAGGGAAATACTTTATACATATTTGTCTTCTCTTGCAGTCATTAGGATCTAACACAGCTATTGAATAGGCTTTTTGTGCATGTCTGGGCAGCTCAGTGGAGGACTGAATGATGGGTATTCTCTTGGCTTACAGGTGAACTATGCTGTTGGCGCCCTGGCGAAGGCAGTGTATGAGAGGATGTTCCTGTGGATGGTGGTGAGAATCAACCAGACTCTGGAGACAAAACAACCCCGCCAGTACTTCATCGGTGTGCTGGACATCGCCGGGTTCGAGATCTTTGAGGTGGGTGTATTTTTCTGACTTTGAAAATGAGTAGATAATGGCTCTTTAAGAAAGGGGAGATCTATTCTCAGTGCTGATGTTCAAGATATATCAGGGAAATACACTGTTTCTAATGACTATTGGAACAGAAGGAAAAATGTACATATACTGGCATACTGTACATTATTGGGACAAATTTCTGACACAGTTTTGGATTTGAAGAAGGGTTCTTCCGCTCTTACCTGTAAAGAAATATTCAGAATTTTCATTTATTATTATATATTTCTAAGTTTTATTTAATTGACCTCTTAAAACACCAGGATTCCCAATGTCTCTTGCAGTTCAACACCTTTGAGCAGCTGTGCATCAACTTCACCAACGAGAAGCTGCAGCAGTTCTTCAACCACCACATGTTCGTGCTGGAGCAGGAGGAGTACAAGAAGGAGGGGATCGAATGGGAGTTCATTGACTTCGGCATGGACCTGCAGGCCTGCATTGACCTCATTGAGAAGGTTTGTCAGTCACATGAGAGCACAGAGGCACTGCAGGTTCACACAGGTGGTGAACACAGCAACACAAAGAAGAGTAACTTCAATCTGAGTCTTGAGTGTCTATGAAACAAGGTAGCCTACTGCAGATCTAGCACTACACACCTTATGTCGATACTCTGTAGGGCTGTCAGTTCCTCACAGAGTATTGCTGCTCTATTGTGGGTCGTGTTACTGTAGCACTGGTGTCAGTGATTGCTCTCCTGAAATGCTCTAGTATCTTTGCCATCTGTAGTCTATCTCTCATTCCAGCCCATGGGTATCATGTCCATCCTTGAAGAGGAGTGCATGTTCCCCAAGGCCAGTGATACTACCTTCAAAGCCAAGCTGTACGACAACCATCTTGGCAAATCAGCAAACTTCCAGAAGCCCAGGATTGTCAAGGGGAAACCAGAGGCCCATTTTGCCCTGGTTCACTACGCTGGCACTGTGGACTACAACATCAATGGCTGGCTGGTGAAGAACAAGGACCCCCTGAATGAGACGGTGGTGGGGCTGTACCAGAAGTCTTCTGTCAAGCTGCTTAGTGTGCTCTTTGCCAACTATGCCAGTGCTGATCAAGGTAGGGATGGTGAATACTTGATATGACAGAACAAAAGAACTTTGTCATGTGTGCTTTCTCTCTTTGCTTCTGAAGGCCCACCCTCATTTCTGTTTTGTGCTCAGTCATGGCAGAAACAGGCAAAACCAAAGAAAAGAAGAAAAAGGGCTCCTCCTTCCAGACAGTGTCTGCTCTCCACAGGGTGAGTAGTTGAAAGAGCTTGAGTCCTCCTTCCAGACAGCATTTTCTCTTCAAAGGGTATAAGAAAGCATTAAACGTTAGAGGCTAGATATTGTCTCCAGCCTTCAAAGCTGACAATTTCTAGAGAAGTCTTCTGAGCTTTCGTCTCAGACTAAGTATTTCCATGCACAGGAGAACCTGAACAAGCTGATGACAAACCTGAGGTCCACCCACCCTCACTTTGTGCGGTGTATCATCCCCAATGAGACCAAGACACCAGGAGCCATGGACAATCCCTTGGTGATGCACCAGCTGCGCTGTAACGGTGTGCTGGAAGGCATCAGGATCTGCAGAAAGGGTTTCCCCAACAGGATCCTGTACGGAGACTTCAAACAGAGGTAAAATGTGACAGCAGTGTCTTCACTATCTCCTTGTACATGTATAAATGTGACACTTGACACTGTATCCTTTCACAGGTACCGTATTCTGAACCCCTCTGCCATTCCAGAGGGCCAGTTCATGGACAGCAAAAAGGCAGCAGAGAAACTCTTGGGGTCCCTGGATATTGATAACCAGCAGTATAGATTTGGACACACTAAGGCAAGGGTTCATATCCACTTATGTAGATTTCTTGATGAGGATGGCAACATCTGAGAAACATCACCCTTTTCTTCCTTTGATTTTACCCTTAAAATAGGTGTTCTTCAAGGCTGGTCTGCTGGGTCAGCTGGAGGAGATGAGAGATGAACGCTTGTCTCTCATCATCACTGCTATCCAGGCCAGGTCCCGTGGTCTTCTCTCAAGAATTGAGTACCAGAAGATGGTAGAGCGCAGGTCAGGATTGCTTGTCCACATACAAGCTCCATAATTACAAAGTACTAGAAAAAGGAGAAGGAGAATTTGTTTATGTGCTATTGCATCCTTTGGACTCTGGGATTCCATGGGCATTGACAGTCAATTCCTTCCATCAGGCAGCCTAGCAAGTATTTAATATAAATTGTGCTTATTAATGTATAAATACAAAACAGATTTGCTTTTCTAAGATTTACACATTCCTGTCATACCTGAATATAAATAATACTTTAAGTGAAAATCAGATGACAATCTGCAATCTATCAAAATCTGTTGTCCTAAAATAAAGGAAACTGTGAAACAGTGGTCCTGGTAAATATTCTGTGGAACTGCATGCAAGAGTAGGGGTGTTGGACTCCCTAAATGTCCCCTTAATTCTCCTAAATTGAAGCAATTTCTTACTGTATGCCTGATACGTTGTTCAGGGTTTATGGCACATGACTGCTGTATGTGGAGCTTCAATGGTACATATGGTGGTCACATGTATTGATATATACTGTAATAAATCTTGATTCAGACTATTTATAACAGAAAAAAACAAGTGGAATGCTTTCTTATTGCTGCAGAGATGCCCTGCTCGTGATCCAGTGGAATGTCCGAGCCTTCATGAGTGTGAAGAACTGGCCCTGGATGAAGCTCTTCTTCAAGATCAAACCTTTGCTAAGATCTGCTGAAGCCGAGAAGGAGATGGCCAACATGAAGGAGGAGTTCCTGAAGCTCAAAGAGGCCTACGCCAAATCTGAGGCCCGCAGGAAGGAGCTGGAAGAGAAAATGGTCTCTCTTCTCCAAGAGAAGAATGACCTGCAGCTGCAAGTTCAGGCTGTGAGTTCACACCAATATTTAGTTTATATTTTACCATAACAATTAAGTGGGTTCTGACAGTTATTCTTGGATGGGTGGTTGTGTACACAACACTCTACCTTCAAGCTGTATTTAACCTATTCATGTTTTAAACCTATAGTTGAAAATCAGAAATGTACTGGTGGAAAAATGCTACACCTGTTGATCATATACAGTAACTCAGTTGGTGAACATCTTTACAGGAACAAGATAATCTTTGTGATGCTGAGGAACGGTGTGACCAGCTGATTAAGAATAAGATCCAGCTAGAGGCCAAAGCAAAGGAGCTGACAGAGAGGCTGGAGGATGAGGAGGAGATGAATGCAGAGCTGACTGCCAAGAAGAGAAAACTGGAGGACGAGTGCTCTGAGCTGAAGAAGGACATTGATGATCTGGAGCTCACCTTGGCCAAAGTGGAGAAGGAGAAGCATGCCACTGAGAACAAGGTCAGCCTGCAGCACTCTCTCAGTGTGTCTGCCTGTTGCTCTTCTGTCTGTGTGTCTGTCCCACAGTCTGCTGAGTCCCTGCTCTGTG